CATGCTGTGGATCTAAAGTTAGCGCTTTTAGTAAACGTAACACTGAGCCGGCTAACATTTTTCCGGTTAATTTTGGTTCCGATTCTATATCTTTGTATGCATCCTCTAGAGAATCCACAAATGCAACAAAATCTTCTCTAACCTGGCCGTTGTAAACATATCGTAAGCTCAAAGACAATTGCTCAATACCATATATGTCAGTTGTTTCATCAAATAAAACTGAATAAAATTTGGCTGCTTTAACTCTCTGTACAATAGTATCTGTAATAATATCGCCAATTGTGGTTATGATTTCATTTTGAATCGTTTTGCTTATGTATGTCGCATTTGATTTAGATGATTTTAAATGTTCTTCAAGAACATGGTCTCCAGCATCGACCCTAAACTGAAGTAGTTCTCTGAAATTACCCTCATTTCTAACTGGACCGGTACCATATACCCCTTCATTAAGCATGTCATTGTCCAAATTTTCATCATCTTCATCATCATCATTATCAGCATCGCCTGCATCATTAGTACTTATATTAAGTTTTTCGTCATCTCGATGTCCTCGTAGAGGAATATTTTGTTTTCCCAAAAAAATAATAGATTTAATTATGGGCTTCAATCTTTCTCTGTTTTCCTTCATTTGCTGATATCTTGCGGAATAGAGTTGATTAACAACTTCAAATGATGGATTTTGGTATGATTTGACAAAATCATTGCCCCTCTGAACTGACTCTTTGTGATACCTGTATTGTTCATGACAGCTGAGATCACCATCTTTGCCTAATAATTTTGCAAATGATGTAAGTGGTTTCTTTACTAATTTTTGCAATGGCGTTTGATGACTAATACCGCCGGTGTCAGCCATTAGAGCACAATACCTGCAAAATAAACCTTGTTCCACATGCGAGTATGTCAACCATGCATTAAATGTTTCCAAGTGACTTTTCAAAATGTACCGTTTTTCATTTTTACCATTTTTAATATGATTTGAATACGGAAATTTGTAGCCAAATTCTGGTTTCCATGGATTTTGTAGAAGTTCAAATTTTATATCATCATTAATTGTTTTATTACTGCTGCCCACATACAGTCCAATATTATTATTGTGTACAAAATCCATTTGTTGATAGACTTTTTCATTATTCTTTATCTTGTTATCTTCGTCATTATCGTGCAAAGCTACTTGCTCAAATGATTCATCATTTTTAACAATCACTTTTTCATTATGATTATCGGAACTATCGCCTTCATGTAGTTCTAAAAAAATAAACTAAATTTAACTTAACTCTGAACACTTATTTAACAATTTCTATGCTACTAGTGAACAAATTCATATCGTATGGTGATCTAACCTGGTGGATGTGCCCTTTTAGTTCGCTTCACAAAACGATCCATATATATTTAAATTAATCTTCTAAAAAAAACTGAAAATATGATTATGAATTATGATACTTATACAGTACTATTACTAGCGCAACTCAAATTTGAATTTTTAAAATGAAAATCAGACGGAAGAAGCGTTCAAAAAATTTTCAAGTGTATTTTGCCGCGTGGGTGCGTTCATAATTTCCCTTTGATCATTTGTAATAAAAATTATAAATAAATCAAAGTAAACATAAAACATTATATTATTCAATTAATTTACATTCTAAAATTTATAATCAAAAATGGATATATTCAACATTACAAAATATTTATTTAAAAATTTTCGCCCCCCCCAGTCAAACTTCCTGGATCCGCCCTTGGTGATAATAATATTTATATATAAATTAATGAATATTATCTTAATTTAATTTTTTTTATTTATAATTATAATGGCATAATTATCAATTAATCATTCACATTATTTTTTTTAAATTTTTATTATTCATCAAATATAAGTAAACTTTTCACAACATTTAAAATTTAAAAAGAAATGAACAAGGAAAACTGAAATCTGATATATGATATCCGACAAAATGATTTTTTCAAATAATTCACCCATTTGTAAAAATGAATCAAAGCTATGTATTTTAACACAATTCAAGAATGTTTTAATAAACAAAACATTTAACTTGATTACGCCACCTGGTGAAATGGGGCAAACTCAATGATCCCGTAGTGCAAGAAGATGACATGAGGTTCATGAGGTTTTCATATCAGTGGTTTCAATTACCAGGCGGTAACAACTAATGGCGTAGTTGGAGTTAAGCCCTTCATATACTGTGAAGGGCCCAGGTTCAAAAAATAAGAGTGAGGCCCTTGATGTACATACTGAAAAAAATAAAACGAGTGTATGTATATATTGATGTCACCCTGACGCTCGAACTACCAACACGAATGTTATAACTAAGTATCTCTATATTTCCAACATCAATGTTGTAGGTTTCAACGATCGTCAAGTGTTCGTTATTCCATAGGTTCAAGATTTCTGATAGATAAACACAACTAATTCAAACGCAAACTTTTTGAACGTTTATTTGAATGCCAACAGTAATAGAAACAATAAACTAATCCAAGAAACTACATAAATCACATTTAAAAACTTCGCTTAAAACCTCTCTGAAAATAATATAGTGCAATTTGATCATTACCTCCACTTTAGCCTGTTGGTCTTTAACATAGGCGTTACTTCTTTATTTCGGTAGATAGGAATAGTTTATTCAAATAGACAAATGTCATCTTTGTCCATTTTTTCTATGACCACAGGTCTTGTAGATCACGTCATTTATCTTGTTAATAATCTTGTAATTTCGAACTTCCAATTCCTTGGGAGTTTTGCCGGTCTCTTTTGTACCGATCATTCCAATTCTTTGGGAGTTTTGCCGGACATTGCCTTTTTCTGCGCTGTAGGTTGTACAACCAAATTTGGTCTTTGCTCTTGATACCTGAGTTATTTTTTTCAGGTCATACCGCATTTCCCCTGTTTCGGTTTCTCTAGTCATAGGTAGCCGTCCTGGTCCCTTCTTGATTTTGTTGGCACTTAGAGCAAGTAATATCTTTCTATTGTGCTTACGAGGTGTAGAATGACCAGACGGGTATCTTGGATGCATGTTGTAAGATTTGTCGCTGACATCTTTTCTTTCGATTACTGATACAGCAATGAAAAACTCATCCTCATCAGCAATGAAACCATCGTTGATGTCATCGTCCAAGTAGACAAGGATCAAGCATTCATTCCAAGCGAGTACTGGAAGGGTTTTCTCAAAATCAAAAACATCATCTGTCGCCAATCTGTGTTCGGTGTGTATACTCGCATTAGCATTAGAATCGTCTTCACTGACATCGTTAATCTCTAGATTAATGCTTTCCCAGATTAACGTCTTATCTAATTCATCATCAAAGGTTGAACAGTTGGTGAGTGTTGCGTTTAAATCGTTGTTGCCTTTAATGTTAATGTTGTCGTTGTTATCGATGAGAACAAACGAGTAAGATCCCACTGCATATCAAAAGTTTCCATGTCTTCGTCGCTGTTAACTTCTCGAATATGTTTAAAATCTTCATTGTCGTCTTCGATAGCAGCTTCATTATTATGGTAACTTTATTTCTTCACGACAATACGTGCATCACAGTTGTCACGTGCGTCACAATTATCACGTGCATCGCCGTTATCACGTGCGTCGCAGATATTACGTTTGTCGCAGTTATAACGTGCGTCACAAATATCACATGCGTCGCAGATATCACGTGCATCATAGTTAACACGTGCGTCGCAGATATCACGTGTGTCGCAGTCGTAGATAAATAAGCTGGTAGGATAATGTCAGGATCTTGTCTAGCTGTTGCTGGTATAATAAGGCACATTTTTCGCTCCTCCGGTTTGTTGTCCAAATCCATTTCTGTGTTGTTTTCGATTGTCATTTCGTTAGGTATTGTTCTTCCATTGGCTGCTCGTAATTTGGCTATCCATTCAGTTATCAGTTCTTCCACAGGATCCGGAAAATCAAACTCCTCAGGATCGTTAACTTTGTTTATCAGAGCGTTCCTTAGGTGGTTTATCAAAACTGTCTTCGCTCCTCTTGAGTCGAGGTTTCGTTTTCGTAGTTCCTTCCTTAGATTTGTGTACCGAGTTCTACTAATGCTGGCATTTTTTATTGCAGAAAAGTTTCAATCTGTCAAAAATCTTACTTCTGACACCAATGTTATAACATCAAAGATCTCTATATTTCATAACACCAGTGTTGTAGCTTCCAACGATTGTCAAGCTTTCGTTATGCGTAGGTTCAAGATTTCCGATAGGTGAACACAAAGTTTTCGTTATACCGTAGGTTCAAGATTTTCGATAGATGGACACAACTGCTTCAAACGCAAACTTTGTCAAACGTTTATTTTAATGTCAACAGTAATAGAAACAATAAACTAATCCAAGTAACTATATATTAATAAATCGCATTTAAGACTTCGCTTCAAAACCCTCTGGAAACCTTACTATAAACATTTCTACGCAGGACTCCTTTATAGCCTGAACGGTTACGATCAAAAAATTCCTCCTCATCATCATCATCTGCTCTCTGCTAGTATATATATATATATATATATATATATATATATATATATATATATATATATATATATATTAATTTATATGCAATCCTGTGCATAGCTTCAAGGACGTTTGGATAAACAATGATTTTGACGTTTCCGTAGGCCTGGATAAACAAAAAGTTCTTTAATCGTTTCCTTAAAAGTTTGATGGTAAGTTGTTGACGAATAATGGTGGGAAAATCATTCCGTATGGAAGGAGAGCTGTACGTAAAGCATTTGTTGATAACTGATGAATTGCTGAATGGTTGATGCAACTGAGTATATGAAGACGAACGAAGTTGACGAGTTGGTGAACAACGCGATATAAGCCAACATCGAGCCAGTGCAGAAGTAATATCTTCAGTGAGAAAATTAGGAATATGACAAATAGTTCACGTATAATAGTTACAAGATTTGATCAAAACTAAGACATGATAGAGAAAAGTCAAAAGTTAAGCCTAAAAATTTAAGTTTAGAAGTTGAGGAAAAAAAAGAATCAGTCAAAAACGTGTGATGAGGGGAACATTTGATAAGCTGTTGCGGAGTGGCAAGAAACATTAATTCAGATTTGTGAGGATTTAGCCGAAAAAAGTTTGATAAATGCCAATCGTTTATGGCCATAGTAAATGCATTTAAGTTGTCAAGCTGAGATATGTGATTAAAGGTGGGAATTTTAGCTTCGTCAGCATATTGATGAAAAAGTAAGCCAAAAGTTTTAATAATATTAAAAATAGGAGAGGTATGAGTAGTGAAAAGAATGGGACCAAGGACAGACAGATGTCATTTAAATTTGTGTTTAGAGCTGATGCAAACTCATCGACCTCCAAATCTTGTGAGAGCAAATCAACAAGTACTTTGTTTAAGTCATTTTCGAATGACGTGTAATTTAAACGACGAAAGCTGCGACGGCAGTCATGGATGATAGTCGATGATGGTTTGAAAAGCGTTGAGTTGAAGCACACAATGTTGTGATCTAAAAAAACAAGTAACCCATGGGAGCCAAACTTTGTAAAACAACCCGTGGGGCATCTGATGGTATGTTTTCGGTGACGACAAGAATGTCAATTTTTTCTTCACATATGACGTCGTTCAGAAGAGCGGACTTTGCATTTACAAGCCCACTTTTTAATTTGGCCAAGCGTTTGTTAATGCTAGGTCTTTTTCTCAAAGCCGAAAGGTTATTGGAGATTGATGAACGTGTAAAACGCGAGTTCCAAATGTTTAATAAAGACATGAATTTTCTACATATTTTAGGAAAACGAAAAGAATTGACGTTTGATGAATTGTACGTAGTTGTAGTTAAAATTATTGATGATTTGTAGATGAAAAAAACCGTTGAAACTTGAAATTAAAATTAGTTACTATGACGACGATGATGAAAATTTGTTAAATTCATAATAATTTTTAATTATTCTTTAAAAATAAAAGGATCTGACAGACGCAGAAACTGTTACAGCACGCAGGGCAAAAGTATAAAATTAAACGATTAAGTAAGTAAATAAATAAAAAAACGGAGAAAGAAAATGTTTAAACATGAAAAGTAAAACAAAATAGAATAAAATAAATAATAAATAATAATAATGATATAAATAAAAAAAATAAATTGACAATAAAATGAAGTAATGGCATAAAAAAGCAAAATAATAGACTAGATGATGACTTAGTGAGTTAGTGAGGTGATCGATGATAAAAACTAGTCGTGTGAATGATAAAGTTTTTTTGGGTGTGAATATGTTTGAGGTGTCTTGAGATGAAGTCTTTTCCTGATATATAGATTGGGTGGCAACTTGATAGTTATGCTGGCGTTGACGAAGTTTGTGTGTTGTAGTTTTAATCGGTGGTAGCGGAGGATGGATGACGTGGTTGTTGTTATTTTCTACTTTCTTGAACAGTCTTGAATCGAGTGTGTTGAATATCTGAGTGACGGTAGGATATGATGCAGATAAGCGGTTTAGTTTTCTGGTGACACATATAGAAGAAATGTTATTTAAAAAAGTTAAAAAATTATGAAAAAATTATGAAAAAAACGTTCAAGCAACAAACGAAAACGATAGTATTAAACTACGAATATACTACTCCAACTGAAAAACTTCATCTTTCATGAAGAAAAACAACTGCACTAGTAAGCCAGAATCGATAATGGATCATAGCCTCTAATATATTTGTTCCAATTTAATATTGGTGAGTGTGGGAACCATAATTCTGAATATATTGTTATGACGATGATCAAGCTATTGAGAAGACTCACGATGCACGTACAAATTGGCGCTATAAAGAATCACATGATAGAGAAACACAAAACTAAAATTACCAGGCAAATCTTGGAGAACAATGTTGAAATCTTACACAACGATAACCCTAACCCTAACCATTATAATTTACGACCATGGATTTTTACAATTACTGGTTTTTATACAATTAATTACACAATTAGCAAAGAGAGAGGCATAAAAACTGTTTTGTTAAAATTTTAACCATAATCCATATATATAATATATATACATATATATATATACTTTTGCCCATTTTATGTAAATTAGTTTTTAGTAAGATTTTCAACAACACGAATCCGTGTTAATTCATATTTACTAATTATGTGTGTCGTTCTAGGCTTACAACGTGGCTTCAGCAAATAGCCATCTTCAGAGCCTAGTATTAATAACAGGTAATAAAATCATTTGACAAGAAAAACAAGTGTTTAGTGGCGGGATAATATTAAAAGGTGAAGGTCGGTATGATGATATAAAAGTGAATGTAAACTTAAACTAATAATTGGCGACTGCACATCCAAATACATATATATGAATCTGGGTGTGTAGTCGCATATATATGAAATGTCAAGTCAAAGCCCACAGATCAAATGATCCACTAAGACCTCTCTAGTGACAAAAGTAATCGTAATCTTCTTGCTCTTGACTTTCCTTTGCTTTTGATACTGTTGATCATACTATTCTCTTGAGGCTGCTAGATCTCTCTTTTAATATTACTGATTCTTATCTATCTAAGTTTTTTTCTTATCACTTTAATCGTTTTCCTTTTGTTGTTTTCAATAATTCTACTTCTAACTCCTCTACTCTTACTTTCGGGGTACCTCAGGGTTCTATCCTCGATCCTCTTCTATTTTACTCTATACATATAAACTACCTCGTATTGTTAACAATTTTTTTTTCACTAGTCAACTATATGCTGATGATTCTTATATTTATACTTAGTTTCCTCAATTTAATCTCAATAGTGTTCTTCATAATCTATCTCTTTGTCTTTCTTCAATTATCGCTTGGTCTGACTCAACTTAATTTTTGTAAATTTGAATAAATTTGTTTTAATAAATTTAAACCTTCTTTTACTATTTCTTCTATTATCTCACCTGATTCTAAACTCTTGATGTTTCTCATAAGTTTCGTAGTCTAAGTTTTATCTTTGATTTTAGTATGTCTCTTTCTTCTCAGATTAATAGTGTTGCTAGAAGTTCTTATCCTTTTTGTTACTTCTTTGGCCTTACCTAGGATTGGTTATTGTAACTTGCTCTATTATAGTCTTCCTGATTCTACACTCTATCCTTTAAGTAAAGCTTTTAACTCTGCTTCTCGTCTAGTTGCTCGTGCTCCTTTCTTTTCTCATATATCTCCATATCTTGTTCTCTTGCACTGGCTGCCTATAAAATATAGATTAATTTTTAAAATTTGCACATTTATTTATAAGTCTCAATCTAAATTATTTCCTAAGTACTTATCAGATATATTAATTGAACCTAAACGTTTACGATCGTTTTCTTAACTCGTGTTAAACACTCTTTTGTTAAATCTGCTTTTGCTTTTTCTGGCCCTTTTCTCTGGAACTTTTTACCTACTTCTCTGACTACTTCTTGTCACGGTTCAAGGGTGGATGTTAAGCGCCGCAATTAAAGATGATGTTGGAGCAGGGTATCATTATTCTGTCAAACAGTGCAATGGCCAGTCCCATTGTTTGCATCATGAAGAAAAATGGCACTGTCCGGTTGGCCGTTGACTACCGATATGTGAATAGACATTCTGAGGGAGAGGGTTTTCTTACACCTGATGTTCAGGATGTGCTTCAGAAAGTGAGTCGAGCCCGATATATAAGTAGCTTCGATGCTAAAAATGATTATTGGCAGAAGGAATCAAGATGGCTGACCGCCTTTGTTTGCGATTTTGGATTATTTGAGTTTACCCGTATGCCTTTTGGTTTGAAGTCGGCCAGTATCACATTTACAAGAGCCACGAAGGAACTAACGAGACATGTGCAAGGATTCACAGAGGCCTACATAGACGACATAGCCGTATACGCAAATAATTGGGAGGAACATGTCATGCATTTAAGACGCTTTTTTAAGGTGGTGGAGCAGTCTGGTCTGACGTTTGATATAGAAAAATGTCGTTTTGCACAGACCAGGATACCATTTTTGGGACACTTGGTGGGATCGGGTACCATTGATATGGATCCACTAAAGTTGCAGAAATTACATCAAACCCGACCCCCAACCACGAAGAAGGAAGTACAAAAATTGATAGGATTTCTGAATTACTTCCACAATTTCATCCCGCATCTAGCCAGAACTTTTGATAACATAACGGAATTGACGAAAGGGAGAGGTAATGGGAATGTAACGTGGACACAAGAGCATCAACGTAGTTTGGATACAGTAATTCATCAGCTGAAGAATGTTGGAGGTTTACATACCATCGATTACACCCAACCGTTTGGTTTAATCACTGACGCTAGTGATCACACGGTGGCATGCTGCTTGGTGCAAATTGATAGTCTTGGAAAGGAACGCCCCATTGCGTTCGCTAGCAAGAAACTGTCGGATACACAGCGTCGGTGGGCTACCATTGAAAAGGAGGCATATGCCATCTTGTGAGCATTACAGAAGTTCAGAGGATGGACTTGTATGTCAACAATCCATGTATACACAGACCATAATCCTTTAACGTATCTAACGGATGTAGT